CTCTCACACACACACACATACAAACACACACACACACACACACACACACACACACCCCCCCACACACACACTATCTCTTTCTCTCTCTCTCTCTCTCTTTCTTTCTCTCCTCTCTCTCTATCTCTTTTACTTTTCCCATCTCTCACTCTATCTCTTTTACTTTTCCCCTCTCTCTCTCTCTATTCTCTCACTCTCTGTCTCAATCTATCTGTCTCTCTCAATTTCTCTCTCCCTCTCAATTTCTCTCTCTCTCTCTCTCTCTCTCTCTCTCTCTCTCTCTCTCTCTCTCTCTCTCTCTCTCTCTCTCTCTCTCTCCCCTCTCGCGTGTTTTCTGAGTCTCGTTCTCTCGTGATAGTATTACATGTATTGTGAACATCTATATTTTAGCTTTTTGTTCCAGATTCGCAGATTTTCAGTGTCACTGAATTTTGCCCTCCCTAAGGAAAGATGACGTGGGTGGTTGGCGGGTGGGTGCTCTGGTGTGGTTTGCTCCTTCTTTCCTATCAAACATCTATTATCGTACTTTAAATCTCACCTTCTTCTTTTTTATGTTTGTTACTCTCTTGTAACACCTCTAATTCTCTGGCGCTCATATGACCTTATATGCAGTTGCGAGTGCCGTAAAACCTCTGCTAAAACTAAACTAAACTAGGAAAGATGACGAGGAGTAGATTGGGATCATTTTCGTGGTTTTGGGACATAAAAAGCGGAGTGAAACAGGAAAAGGGTCAAGGTCACGAAGGGAGCGAAGCAGTTTCCGTGCACCTAGCTCAAGCGCCCGCCCACAAAACAAAATACCCGGTTACCGTGTTTGTAGATATTGAGGCTACGCGCCCGGTTGACGGTTACCGTGTACGTAGATATTGAGGCTACGTGCCTGGTTACCGTGCGTGTGACATTGAAACTACACACCCGGTTACCGTGTACGTAGACACTGACGCTATGCGCCCGGGTACCGTGTGTGTGATATGATATTGGGACTACACGGTGAAAAAGGAAAAAGGTCAACGTCATGAAGAGAGCAAAGCAGTTATCGTGCACCTAGCTCAAGCCCCCCCCCCCCCTCCCCAATGAAATTAAATACCCGGTTACCGTGTGTGTGACATTGAGACAGCATACCCGGTTACCGTGTGTGTGACATTGAGACAGCATACCCGGTTACCGTGTACGTAGACACTGAGGCTACGCGCCCGGTTGCTGGTTACCGTGTACGTAGATATTGAGGCTACGCGCCCGGTTACCGTGCGTGTGACATTGAGACTACACACCCGGTTACCGTGTACGTAGACCCCGAGGCTACGCGCCCGGTTGCCGGTTACCGTGTACGTAGACACTGAGGCTAGCTTACGTGCCCGGTTACTGTGTACGTAGACCCGTTTAGGTATTTTTTTACTTTCCCTCCCGTCTCACACTCAGCTACCAGTTGTCTATTTTGATGCGCAGAACACGAATATCAACTTCATTTCCGTCGCAAATCAATAGTTTTTGAAATATTTGATTGTTTTTAACCGAGATAGACGTGCTTTGGACCAATCGGGGGGTACCAGGGGGGCCTGCCCCACTGGGGTAAAAGAAAATCTGGGGGGTTACAGGGGGGCATGCCCCCCTGTTTTTACCCATAATTTGATATTTTACAGTTAGATTTGAAATTGTCTTGAAAATAATTGATTTGCGACAGTTTTATTTTAGTGGCTTTATGTGTGATCTGCAGCAAACAGTACTGCAGTTTGACCCCTGAAACAGTGCATCTGTGTGCGGGAGTGAAAGTAAAAATTTACCCCCGTTTACTTTTATAGTATAGTCTAGTAATAGTATAGTCATAGTCATTTTAATATATAAGAATCTAGACTAGATCTAGATATAGATTCTAATCTAGATCTAGATCTAGATTAGATCAAGGCCTGCTTCACACCATTCAGTTCAAAGGTATACACTTTTCTCCAAGTATACAAGCAAAAGCATCTATGCGATAGGGAGTAGCACACTCTCCAGAGACTTGATAAATTGACAATATTATTATTAACCTACCGGTTTGACGTGCGGCTAAATTGTCAGCCATAATGTAAAATGAAAATGTAAAATGTAAACAGTGTCACACAGACCGGAAGCGGAAACGAGGAAATAAGGAACTGAAAGTAAATCCACGACAATTAACGCAGGTACAGGGAGGTAATGAAAATACCGGAAATTTATGTTGATTTGACGTTGAAGAAAGTAGGGGAAGAAACTTACTCATCCTTGTCTGGCCACAAAATCATTACATCGACCAAACCCACTTGTCCGTGCTCTCAAAGAGTTGCACTCTTTGGATTTATGGTATGTTAAAATAAATAAATACTTAAGATATGTCTTGACAGGTATTCTATTTCTTGCTGTTGATTACGAGGTAGCACAAGATGATTGTAAAATGGTCAGGCGGCGTAATATTGAGCCAATGAGCCTAGCTGGCGGTGCAGCAGTCAGCCAGCAGTGGACTGCAGAAAAACCAACAGACACAGTCTGTATAACTCAACAGGTTCCTAATACATATTGCTGGACTGGCAGGCTAGCCATGCTTAAGTATGGCTAGACAGGTGGGCTAGCTATACTAAGAGTAAGGCCAGACGGCTAGGCTAGGCTAGCCGTAGCCGTAGTTTACTCTTCCTGTCTGTGCTGAGATGCGAATCTTACAGCAACCAATTGCGTCGGATGTTCCGGGCAGGCCGCCGGGGTCCCTCAGTGTGTACTGTTGGTGTACAGCATGCACGCCAGGAAATGTGTGTTTTCACCATGAATACTGTGTGGGAGTGGGAGTGTTGTTAATCGATGATGAAAATAATGCTCCATCTTTCATAGCTTTCTATTTATAAAGTGTTACAAACACATGAATAACCCCCTCTCACAAGCTGATAAGACATTACGAGTAGTATGCCCATTCGAATAACCGGTATTTTTTTACTTTCCCTCCCGTCTCACACTCAGCTACCAGTTGTCTATTTTCTGCTAAATATTGATACGCTGAACACGAATATCAACTTCATTTCCGTCGCAAATTAATAGTTTTTGAAATATTTGACTGTTTTTCACCGAGATAGACATGCTTTGGACCAATCGGGGGGTTCCAGGGGGGCCTGCCCCACTGGGGTAAAAGAAAATCTGGGGGGTTACAGGGGGGCATGCCCCCCTGTTTTTACCCATAATTTGATATTTTACAGTTAGATTTAAAATTGTCTTGAAAATAATTGATTTGCGACAGTTTTAGTGGCTTTATGTGTGATCTGCAGCAAACAGTACAGCAGTTTGACCCCTGAAACAGTGCATCTATGTGCGGGAGTGAAAGTAAAGATTTACCGAATAACCTTTCTAGACGCTCTTGTTGTTATGATTGACCTGAGGTTCGAAAGGGGGTAATATCTAGGTCAATTTCCGAATGTTTTGCACTCAAATTGTTCTTTGTACCTGCACAATGGTTCAAAACTATCAAACAAGCTTATTTTTTATCAGGTAGTATCATTTCATACGAAATCAAGCTCATTTGAAAAATAAATATCAACATATTATACCAACATTTTCAGTATGGATTGTAGAATACATCTGCATTATTTATTTGCGTATTTTTCAACTTTGGTTCCTGTAAGAGGCGATTATGCAACACAATTGTGATTGGATGCGGATAAAATCGGAAAATATAAAATTTATAATCTCAGTTGAAACTAAAAAAATATGTTTGCACCTAGTCAAACGATACTTCAAAATAACCATAACTGTATATAGAACCAGAAAATATTTTAAAATGTGCAGTTATTTACATACATTCCATAATATTTGTACTTTTTTTATCATAACATCCGATATTGAAAAAAAAAAATTTAATAATTTTGAAAAAAGGATCACAAACAGAAAAATATACGCGTATCTTGTTTGAAATTATTCAGAATTGCATTTGGAATAAACCTATACATGTCTTGAGTGGTACTTTTAAAGTAATTTCACCAAAAAGTAGTGATTTTGGGGAGAACAAAATATTTTGACTATTTAGATCTAGGCCTAGATCTAGCACTAAAAAATATTGATTTCTCAATTACAGTGCACCGGCAATTTGCGTCCAATTGTATCAATATTATAAAGATGAGTCCTACAATTCTTTAGTGAGCAAAATAATGATACATTTTGTTGTGTAAAAGTACTAAGACTGGTGTCTGGGCTATAATTTGGGCTTCGCGATAAAACAAAGTCGAATAAACTACGAAATCGTGTTTCAAAACTGAATTAAAACTTTCGATTTTCGGTGAAAACGCTTGACC